TTATAGTTTCAAAGTTCTACCATTTGGGCTAAATATAGCACCAAGGATTTTCACAAAAATGTTAATGCTCATTCATTTCCGGTTGATTTCCCTAGGAATTAACATTCTTTTCTATCTAGACAACTGGCTTGTTTTGAACACACTCAGCAGAAAAGTGCACAAGAATGATGGACACAGCTTTGAGGATTAGTTCAGAAATAGACCTTCTTTTCAATCTTCCAAAATCGCATCTTGCTCCTACAAGAAAACTTACTTGGATAGGCTTCCATTGGAATTCTTTAACTCAAACAGTATCTCTTTCAGAAGAGAAATGAAGATGTTGAAAGAGAGTTTTCCAGTCCATTCCTGTGATATCAATGTCCCAAAGACAATGGGAGAGTTTACTAGGTTCCCTAAATTATGCAGCAGAAATTATAAAATTAGGTCAGCTGAGATTACAAAGACTGATTTTCAAAGGAAGATCACTGTTTTCTATGATAGACCGAGATCAGTTGGTACTGTTTCCTCGTCATTTAACCCATTAACGTATATTTTGAAGCCGAAAATAAAAGATTCCGGGAGGCTATAAAATCAATGTCACATTGGCAGGACGCTGGGCTGGGCCAGAATCTGCCCGCGCGCCGGCTGCGGCCCATGACAGAATCGGAGCGCAAGCTTTGATCCAACATCACACTGGCAGGACGCCGGCAATGTTTATTTCTCAGGGTATCACATATATGGGGCACCCATCATAAAGGGGTTAAAATGCCTTTTCAGGTTGTGGTTGCAAGACAACCATCTGGAATCAGTGATGCCTTGGGTTCTTCCAAACAATAATGACAGATGTTTCAGATTAGGGCTGGGGTTTTCAAATTAGCTCTAGAATACACCCCAGTATTCTGTCAAGGGATACAGATTCTCAGGGTGTTCAAAAGTTTTCAAAGTAGCATGCTACCTAGGTCCAAGTATAGGGTTAACCTGTGCCGGGCAACTCCTGGCAAACGAGCACCAAAGCATTTTGTTGGGTCCGAGGGATTGAAAAATGAAATGCGACCCCTCAGATGCATTCAGTGTTTTTGAATGATGTATAAAAGTAATAGATATTTTCTCTACTGTCCTGCTAAAAGTACCCAGCGATCAAAAGGCTGTTAGACGGTGAATTTTTGGCTACTTTTGAACACCCTGGATTCTTTCAGACATTTCACTGTATCAATCGCCAATGGTCTACCCAGTCTTCAGAACTTCGAGCTTCAGAGACACTACTGGAACCAACTGCTCAGAATTAAGGAGGAGTAATATTGATAGCTCCTTTACAGAAAGCTCAAGCATGGACAACTGCACTTCTCAGCTGCTGTCCACATCCAGTACCAATTGGACACAATGTAATCCAGAACGTGAATTCCTCACAGTTCATGAACTGCATGAATCTTCCCATGCAGATTTTCTCCACAAATCTTTCAACCTAAGGATACAAGATAACGATTCTGTAGGATCGGATATCATTAAAGGTTTTACCCAATCCACAACCAGGCAGTACTAATTGGGTTGAAAATTATTCAAATCATTTTTAAGGAGTAAAAGTATTGAATCTGTAAATTATGACACTTTGTTACAGATTGCTTCATAGGTGTTCCATGTTCAGAATCTTTCAGGAGACACTGTTCATACTCATTTATGTGCACTAGTTTCCTCTCAGGATAGGCATGGGTATAAAAATAGCCCAAGAATAAAATGAAAAGAGGATTTTTTTAACAATGTCATAGGAACTGACGATACATTCCTTCTTGGCCTATTAAAGATCCTTTATCATTTTTAGAACAACCTAGATTCAGCTTATCCCTACAAGACATCTTTGCAAAGGCAGTATTTTTATTAGCCTTAGCTTCAGGATTGAGACTATCATAAATGGTAGCTTTAACTAGATCTTTAATTTTGACAGTATATAAAACTGGTAATGAAGCAGCTTCCTTAGCCCCTTTCCCATTGTTTTTGGCTTAGAATGAAAGACCTTCAAACAGATTAGATCCTGTAAGGGTGCCAGCTTGGATAGTGGATGCTTCACATCGCAATCTATGTCCAGTTTCTGCCCCAAAGAGTTACCTGAACTCCTTTTTGTCAATTTCTGAAAGACTTTGGATTAATCCACACAATAACAAGGTTTGCAATGCGTGGGATGTCGAAAGTCATTTGTCAAGTGATTAAAGAAGCTGTTTCAGGATCTAATCCCAATGCACATCAGGTGAGAAGGTGTGCATCCTCTATAGCTTTTTTGATATCCTTTGATTTGACTCAAGTTCAAAGTCAAGGCCAGTGGACTTCTGCTAGCTCATTTGTTAATAGGTATTTTCCATTTAACATTCCTAATGTGCCCTGCATGGCAATGACCTCTTTACTTTAATGTTTTATTTTAAGGTATAATAATTGGTGTAGGTTTTCAAACAAACAGGTTGTTTCAAAATATTTTAGATTCTATCCTCTGAAATCATTCTTATGTCAGAGTATCTCCATTCCTTATCTTGTTTTTTATTATATTCCTTTCCTTCCCCCCTCCCCCCCACCCTTTTATTATGTTAGGAACAGATGTTAAACAACCAAGACAAATCTTCAGGTGTGAATATTCACTGACCTCATATTCAGATAAGTATTTTACTTGCATTTTATTTTGTGTAGATGGATAACTAGTTTTATTTCTAACCCTTTCTGTAATTACTTTTTAGACAAGCATTTTGCACCCCCACTGCATTAGTCATAAAATAAGAGGTTTGAAGAATTGAAAACCTTATTTCTAAAATGTGCAATGGGGGTGTAGTAAAAAGAAAACATATAATGCACTTGAATTTGCTTTATATCTGACTTGCCGAGTCAGAGGGTAGCTGGCGAGCTGAGCGGTTTGCAGCTGTGTGAGCTCTATTGTTTTGTGATGAATGTAGGGGTGTCCCCTGTATTTAGGAAAAAAAAAAAAAATTCTTTCTCTTTTTTTGCAGGAATTACTTCTCATGTGTCAACTCGACTGGCATGAAGCATTTGCCCATTGCAAGTCATAAAAATAGGGGTTTAAATTCTTCAAATCTCTTATTTTGGACCATGTTATAACAGTGAAGGATCTGGATCCAATGGGTAAAACTAGATATAACTGTACAGAAAATATATTTTGTTTCAATTCATATCGATATCATAACCAACCTTCACTCACAAACATCCTTTATTGCTTAAATAAACTTCATCCTAGTTTATGAAATATAATAAATAAATAAAACTCTGAGATTCACTAGAACAGCACCTATGCAGATGACTAAATAGACTAATCCTTTCAATTAATTACCTTCAATAAAGCAAATTACACAAAAATAACACAAATTTTGAAACATTGTAGGTTCATACTAAATATCCCAAGAAATAATACATATTCAAACTGCACTGTTAGAATTCATCTTACCTGTAACAATTTGGTCTTCTGGCCCTTTTTCTTCATTCTTCTTAAACACAAAGTCTCCCAATGCTCTTGACAATGCAAGGTTGCCATTGACTCTGTTCAGCTCAACCCAACCACCCGCTGCTGTTATTCTTCGCTGCTCAGAAGCCAGGCTGGGCTTATGGTCATTGCTTAGCTCTTCAACACGGCCACCAACACTAGCTATAGCCCGGGAATCGCCTACATTTCCCTAATAATAGCAAAAGAAGAGATGAGTCAACAGTCCCCGCATTCTTTTCACTATGAAAAGAAACAACCATACTGAAATCATATTGGAAAATCCTATTTCTATAATAGATGAATAAGATGTAAACTCTGTCACAATAACTTTTATCACTATGTAGTGTGTTTATTCTATCAAATTATCTCTTTTGAGGTTTATCATAATAAAACAGAAGAGACAGAGACTCATGAAGTTAGCAAACTGGTGACCTGTTTATTTACCTTAGTGAGGAAGGCAAATATATACTGTAATAGTTCTGCATGAATTAATAGATACTACTTTATCTTATGTCAGTAGTTTTTAACCTTTTTCAATGTATGAACCCTTTCAAATCAGCAGTCAGTTCTCACACCCCCTAAATTACTGAAATACAAAAAAATGCTGAACTACAAATTGGATGTAATGTGTATTAACAACAAAACCATTTTTTTTTCTTTTTTTCTAAACTGACAAAGCTTACCGATGCATTTTCCTGAAAGTTGTTGTTTTTTTTCTCTCTAAAGAAAAAATAACATCCATATGCAAAAACATATTTTGCTTTAATTTTGCATAGGCTTCCTAGCACCCCCTAGGAACTGGCTTCGCACCCCTGGTTAGGAACCACTATCTTAGGCAGAAGAACATTCCATTAGCAGTACAAAGTAAACAACTTAATTTCTTTAAATATACTTTGATCAGAAAAAATAAACAATCCCATTAATTGAATTAAATTATGCATCTGTTTAGCAATAGTTATATTACACAGATGCACCACAGTATGGCCCAAGGCTGCAAATGCAAATTGGCAGATTCCTATCATCAAATCATCAGAATCGTTTACACCTATTTCAACAAAGAGTAGAACATAATCCTAATGAAAAAAACATTTCTAGTATCTCATACATCATAGGATAAAACTTCATTAAATATCTTTCAAAGCCTGAATTTCAACAAAGAATAATGATCAATGAACAGTAATTAAAAATTTACCAAAATACAATCTGGCTCTAAAAGTAAAAAAATGTTTGATACATTCATAACCTCAAAACCAAAATGCACAATTTGAAGTCCTCAATAGCTGCACACAGTAAAAGAACATCTTACCAGGCAGTGCTACTAATAATACACATAAGTGATACATTTACCTGCTAAAGATAATCATCCATGTATGCATTCTGAGGTTTATTAATACTCCATTACAGACTGGTGCTGTCCTTACCAGATACTAAGGTACCTTCTTCTTGTGTATGGATAAAAAATACCTATATTTGAATTTTCATATTACACATGTTTAAAGTAAAATAGTTTTCAAATAATGCTATTGAATATAAATAAAGCAATATATGGTCAGAGGGCACTGAAAATCAATGAATATACACAAATTAAGAACTATGATCTATAAGCTACAAGGTATGGCTATTTAGCATCCAACATTAAAAAACTTGTCCTACTACTGTATGACTGCTAGAGCCCAACTTGGGTTATATCTTGGGAGGAGCAATGGCATAAAGTGCCAACACACAAACTATGTACGCAGGAAATTAACGCCAGCTACACCTTTATGGACTTCTGCTTATTGCAAACATGCATACAGCATTTAATAATGACATTGTGTATATATATGCCTTTGTGAAAGTCCAAAGAACACTTTTATATCAATATCAGAAAAGAAGAAAATTATAATTTATGATATTTATTGACATTTTTCTTTGAAAATATAAGTTTTGTGCACATTCACACATGAAATATGCTTTCCATTGAGACTCCCTGGTAATATGCTGTAGCTTATAAGGGGGTCTGTACGTATACTGAATATGAAGTACTAATGTTAAAAATATATATACAAATAATGATAATAAAATTTCATTTTGGCTTTACTCTAACAGTCAGTATTGTCAACCTCTTCTAATTAATTTTCATTTGAAATTGGTCAATATAAAGGGCATGTGAAAGAGAGAAAGATACTTTAATTTCAGAAAAATAAGCGAAATACAGATTATTTTATGCTGATGATAATACATAATGATGCCCGCTCTAAAATAAAAACTATATGGAAATGTGAAAATTGGTCTTCTGCATGGTTTTTGTAATATGTTGAAAATGCTATTGCATCTTTTTCATGCATTTCTGGTAAAAAATGCAACCTGTGGATGCTACCATAGGCTGCAGATGCCATAAATACGTAGATTACCACCCCCACCCAGGTGTCCATGGATTCTTATTAAATTATTTGCAAATATAATGCACAAAAGAGACTGAACACCTACTCTATGCTGGTTTGGCCAACAGTCACATTTCTAAGAGTCCTTATAGAAAACGAGTTTGATCTGTGGTAACTAATAATTTTTCCTTTACATAAAAATGGGTATAGTCTAATTAAATGGGGATAATTAAAAAAGTTAACCTTATGTGGATGTGATTCCATACATGTAAGCCTCCTCAAAAATCATACCTATTCAGTGGTCAGCTCTCCCCATCCCCTACCCCCTCACTCTCGTTTGGAGCTTTGGAAAAATTCAACAGCATCAGTAACTCTCATCTTCCATTTACTTTATCAATGTGCATCTATTGGATTTTCCAAAATAATTAAAAATTAAATAAAACAAAAATTAATATCATCTGGTTTAGATTAGTTTCCTGTATAATTTGATGCATTTATTAAACATTTCAGCCAGAAATGTCTATATTTCATACAAGGAAAAGGAAAAGGAAAAAAATATCCCTATTGAAAACAAATATCTCTGACTGACTTGGCAATAGTCTTATCATAAAGTAGAATAAATGACCTCTTTTATATACTGAACATCATTAGATTTAGTGAAGAAATAATAATGAACTGTGGCAATGTCCAAGCTTCCAACAGTCTATTCTCCGTTCTTTGTTTACATAAGCTGTGGCAATTTTCGTGCATCTTGAAATCGATCAATTGCATTCATGAGTTTCACAGAGGGTGTAAGACCTCAATTTTCAATTCCAGAAAAAAAAATCAGCAAAATATAGTTTACTAAAACAAAAAACTGGCCAAATATAGTTTACAATGGCAAAGCCTTTTTTCTTTTTCTGAAATAAAAAAAATGGCACCTTGCACACCCTTTGCATAGAGCTGATATTGATGAAGAATAGTTTTAGGTAAATCAGGGAAAGAAATATGACCTGTGAATAGTACCACACACTAAAAATAAAAGAAAGAAAGAAAGAAAGAAAGAAAACCTTTTGGGGGGCTCAAATGATATATGAGACAAAGTGCAATTATATACACTATAACATGCAAAAAAAATTTAATTAGCTATCTAAAAATCCTTAAGCTGATTATCTCTCCACAAATGGGCATCCACAAGTAAAGAACTTGTGGCCTATTCTAGAGACTCTAGCATATAATATATGATTACTTGTAATGTAGTAACTAAAGATTAACTTTTAAATTTTTGGGGAGGGGGACCACATATCAATTGCATACTCTGTAGCATAAAGATTTTCATTAATAGACTAAACTGAAAACAGAGTTTATTACTAGTTTACAAAATCAGAAATCTAAGTAGACAATCTGATGTCCATGGGAAAATCTTTTTATGTAAAAGGGTCCTTTGTAACAAAAAGACTGGGAACCAGTGCTCTATATCATATCATTTTTGCATGAACCCATGAACCATAATAATGTATTGTTAATTCAACAAACTCCCTCGAGTAAAACCCACGAAAAAGGTTTTGCTGTATGATAACAAAAATGAATAAAAAGACGATAAAAAACAAAAGTATTAAATATTTCCATCTAAAAAAAAAAAAAAAAAAAAAAATCTTAAAACAGAAAGACTGACATCACACTTAATTGTTTCTTAAATTTAATGCAATACTTACACAATAAGCCACACCATTTCGTAAAATGCAACAAATTGCAGTGGTCCCAGCCAGTTCATCTTTCAGCACTTCATCTGTCTGCATTGAGTGGTCCAAGTCTAGGAATCCCTATATGAAACAAAGAACTTTATCATATGCATAGACATATTTAGGTAAAACAATCTGAGGTAATCTAAGGGTCTACGAACTCCATGAATAATTAGACCATAATCTGATAAAAATGCCAAACAATAAGGTAAAATGAAAATGCCAAAACATCAAAATTTAAGTCCACCTCAGTCAATCAATGTCTAAGTCTTACAAGTTTTCAAAGATATCTAGCCCAATGATTCTGCTTAATAAATAAATAGAAAACCACATATACAAACCTGCTTTACAGCAGCAACCAAGTCACCGGCTTTGTACTCTGGTCTTTGCAGGATACTTTTGTGCAAGTGCTTCCCTGCATGCTGGGCAATTCTTGCACCTGTGTGACGATAACACTTTTAGACAGTGACACAATGTCTGCTGCATTATATAAGAAATGAGTAAATTAGGTAATATCTTTCTTTCAAAAAAATATGAGCCTCATCGAGATCTTAAATAATTTTCTTGAGAGAAGACTGTAGTCAAAGGTATTTTATTAGCATTGTGCTTGTACACTTTTTTCATTTTAAAAAATCAAATTTTATCCACATCTACTTTATTCTATGATAAAAAATCAAGAATTACTCAACATAGTTCCTATGCAAGCAAGTAGGTTGAGTGTATAGATATTACTCATATCTCATTGGTTGTTAAATCTTATTGTGCTTACTCATACTTATACCCTTTTTTACCTTTGCACATTCTTCATGCTTTAATTTGTGATGAGCCCAAAACTTTTCCCTCCATCATCCACTCAAGACAAAACTAATACATCTCCCCACAAGCATAAGAAATTCCTCATATTCATATCATGTACCTTTACTTATGCAATAATTCTCAATACAGTGTATATACATACTTTATGTCATCTACAAGATAGCATATATACCCAGCTTATACACAGCTAAGAGGAAATTTAGGAACATATCCTTAATTAAAATAAGGGATAACTACACATATCAGAACATAGTAAAAAAAAAAAATATTGAACCTACAGCAACTATATAACACTCCATAATAAACATATTACAATATATATCAATATATTGGGTCATTGTATTAACCAATAGGGTTCAGTTTCATGTACTGTCCACTCAAGCTTTTTCTTTGAATCTTGTTGCGCACCTATCATTCCATACGTGTTCGTCCACCAAGTAGGGCCTACATGATATCCCCAATCTATAATTTTTTGGAATCTTTTTTTTTTTTTCTCTCTTTTCTTTTTTCTTTTTTTGGAGGGGGGCATTTTTTTATGTCATTTACATTGCTACTGTTATTATCATTATTGGCATTATGATCATTATAACATTATTAACAATACTAATAACAATAAAAAGAATCTATCAAAAATTCAAGGAAAAGGGTAAATTAACAAATACAATCAGATAATAATAATAATAATATAGACAAAGATTAATCACAAAACAGGCCTAATCAAACAGCTCTCGAGATTTCACTGTTATCTATAAGTAGATTTTTGTGTATTCTTTCATTCCTGGATTTCCTTTGTAAATCTATTTGTGTGTATATCTTTCTAGAGTATATATATTTTTTGATCAATTATCTAATAAAACATGTAAATAATACATATACATATATATCTATATTTATCTATCTATCTGTGTGTGTGTGTTTGTGTGTTGGGGGGGGGGGGGGTGCATGTGGGTGGGTGTCTCTCATGCACACCCACATGCCTGTGCATACACACACAAACGCACGCAACGCACGTACACACACACATGCATGCATGCACATGCACATGCACATGTACATGCACACACACACACACACACACACACACACATGCATGCACGCACATGCACACACACACACACACACACACACACACACACACACACACACACACACACACACACACACACACACACACACACACACACACACACACACACACACACACACACCACATACACACATACACACACACACACACACACACACACACACACACACACACACACACACACACACACACACACACACACACACACACACACACACACACACACACACACACACACACACACACACACACACACACACACACACACACACACACACACACACACACACACACACACACACACACACACACACACACACACACACACACACACACACACACACACACACACACACACACACACACACACACACACACACACACACACACACACACACACACACACACACACACACACACACACACACACACACACACACACACACACACACACACACACACACACACACACACACACACACATGCACGTACACACACACACATACACGTGTTTTCACACACACACACACACACACACACACACACACACACACACACACAC